GGGTGCTGCCCATGATTACGTCTGGCCAGCTTTCCCGTGCTGTCAGCCCATGCACCTGCTAGGGGAATGACCCAGTGGGCATGGAAAAATAAGGACTGGATAGCGGACCTCAGGAGGTGCTGTCTCCGCCAGAGCGCGTCTCAAATGACGAGCACCTTGGAGCCGGAGTCGCTATTGTACATCACCGAACCATGTGAGATCGTTGACAATGAGGGCCAGTCGCCCGAATTGTTCTGGGAATTTTTCTACGGCCACGGGCCCATTCAATGCCAAATCGGCTGTGGGGTCCAACGGAAAAAATCCGTTAGCACGGCCCTGACCAGCATCTGCGGTGGAGCGCTCCATTGTGTAACTCGAGCGTTGGAGGCGTGCGCCATCAATCGTTACGCGTGGCTCCTCTCGGTGCAAGACTAGGGCGCACGCAGCCGCAGGCACAACGCGCGCATGCCGAGATCCAACACACCCAACAACCTGAGCAGGGCCACGTATTCTCTCGTCCATCCCGCCAATACATCAAAACGAACGCGGTTACGCTGTGTCACTTGACGCCGTACAGGAGAGCACAGGCACAGGGGAGGAGAAAGGCTTCACAATTGTTCAGACTAGATCCACACACGTGGCCCACGCATAATGATATTGGCAAACGTATCCGTGCAATTGAAAACGTACTAGGACATATGCACCGTACCTGTGCCGCTTAGATATGTATCGATGTTACTCTTACTTGTACCGCTGCCACTTGAAAACGTCGAATGCACCTTGTCAGAATTTAGCTGTGCCACTTTCGAGACGTACCACTGCCAATTCCAAAAGTACGGGTGTAACGTTGGAAGAAGTATCTGTGCCACTCTTGATGCGTAGCGGTGCCACTATGCATTGATGCCACGTGCTCCGTCGCCGTCGTGTTTGCCGGCCCTCTTGTTTCCCTTTCTTCTCCTGCTCGTCACCTTCTCCCTCCTCGCCCTCCTCTCACCCTCCTTCTTCTCCTGCCGCCACTGTCAGAGGAGCTCTCTCTTTTGTCCTGCTTCGCAGCGAGCTCTTCTGGAATACGAAGCAACGAGATAGGGCACAGGGAATATATAGAAAGAGCGAGCCAGGTAAAGACAAAGACAAGGCACAGGCAGAGAGGCTGACTGTGCGTGTGCAGCGCGCAAGGCACAGAGAGACGGCGAGTGGTATCCAGCATGAGAAGCCACACAAGGATGGCGGAAGCAGGATCGAGAGAGGAAAAGTGGACAGGGGTAGCTACAAATGCGCGCGACAGGAGCCTTGGGGCCCTTGCGTCCTCAGGAATGCTCGGGAGCAATGTGGGTCCTGGGAAACTAAGGGACCTCGGGACGTTTGGGGTACTTGAAAGCTTGGAACTTGGGGGGTCCGGGGTTGGTTTGAAGGCCTCCAGAGGACTAGGGAAACAGAGTCGCAACATATACTATGCAACGTCAAACGTGGGCTCTCACAATTTCCGCCTCCACCGCCACATGCTACAATATGCTTCGATGCAAATGCACATCGTGGCCTCGACATTATTCGACTAGCTTCCGCTTGCAAGTTCCAGTGCTCCAAAACATTCGAGCGATATGTGGTTGAACAGAAAAACCATGCTAAAGTAAGCGCCGCGCCTGTGTCATGTAACTATCCCGTGGCTTTTTAAGACCACCATGCAAGTTACCTAACGTAACTTTTTTCTCCCCGGATTGACGACCAGCTGAAGCGTTTTTTTGGGTATATCGAGCGGTCGTGCATGTACCGTGCGCGCCGACGGCGGCACGGGCAGCCCGTGCGTCAGCGCCGCCATAGCGAGGGGCGGCGTGTCCGCGGGCAGGCCGCTGCCGCTGCGCAGATCCACGAAGCTCAGGTCCAGGATGAGGTCGTCCGGCTTCAGCGTCGCCCGCAAGCAGGCCAGCGCAGGGCACAGCCACGCGTCCATGTCGATGACCACAACGTCGTCGTGCACTCCAGTCTTCCCCGCCCGCAGGAGGGTGGAGTCGTGCCGAAGGATGGACCAGTGCTGGTACTCGGGCCCCGCCATCACCGCGGGGGCAATGAGGTGACGCGCTCGTACTTGCAACATCTCCTGCGGCCTCAGGTAGCACACGAGGGCGACGGCGGTTCGCAGGGCAGCCAGCAGGAGGCCGCGGTGGATTAGGTAGCCGACGATCGCGCCCATGGCCGCCCTCGGCAGGGGCCACCGCGTGAACGGTGCGGTACGGCGCCTCCAGCCCAGCATCGCCCGAGAGGCTCGAGGGGGCAGAGTGGCCCCTGAGCGCCCCTGCCCCGTCAGGAAGTGCGCCACAGCCGCCAGCGTGCCGCTGCCGACGTCGGTTCCCAGCCCCTTCAAGTACAGGCCGTTGAAGGAATCGACCAGGAGGCCGTCGAGGGTGGGCCCGTCGTGCCAGTGCAGCGCCAGCCCTAGGCAGTAGCCTTGGAGCCCCTTCAGCATCGACCTGTAGAGGGTCTCCGTGGAGGGACGGATGGCAGGCCGCTCCAGAGAGGAGAGCCCTCCAAGCGGGGGCCGCCCCCGCACCGCTGCCGAGGCCGCCGAGGCGCGGAGGGCCTTCAGGCAGGTAGACCTGCTCCTTGATCTGCTCGCCGCCTGCAGCCGCCCAAATGCCGGGCGGGCGCGGGGCATCTGCTGCGGCTGGCACTTGTAGCGAGCTGGGCCGGGGGAGCCCAGGCGGGGCCCCCAAACGGGGGGCCCTGTGAGCCGATATGGAAGACGAAGGATAGCGTCTAATAGCTCGGGGCCCAGTAAACCAGCCAAGCCTCCCCCTCGAAGGGGCGCCACTCACGTTTCTCTCAGTGGGCACCCATCTGACAATAAACCGACACCCAGTGACCAGGGACAGACAAGCGAGCTTCGTCAGGCAGGGCTTGAGGAACTTCGATCTGGCACGATCCTTGGTGGCCCCCAAGGCTAACGGAATATTATCGACGATGAACAAAAGACGACGACCAAGGGCGCAGTTGCTGCGTAAGGCGTGGCGTATGGCGAGGATGAGGGCCACCCCCTCCAGGGCTAAGATGTTGGTGCCGACGCGTACCTGGCAGGCAGCGATGTGGGCCCAACTGTCGGGGTCCATGAGCTCCTCAGGGACCTCGTCGAAACGTCGGGCCGCTTCCTCCAGGTAAACGGGGCCTCTAGCACAGGCAGCGCTGCTACCACTGGGGGATCGGAGACCGGGCGGGGTAGACGAGACGGCGAGGGCAGCCTCCCGGGGGCGACAATGCTCTTCGACTTTGTATCGCCACCGCTCGCACAATCTCCCAACTGCGCCAGCATCACGAGGACAGACCCGCCGGACAGAGGCCCCAAGGCCAAATGGGGAAGCATCTGAGGCGTGCACCTGGTCGTGCCACTCGGCCCCCCACTCAACTGTAAAGAGCGGGAGGACACATCGTAATCTCCAAAGCTCTTTGCGAACGCCAGGCCAGAGGTCGACAACGTCACCCTTGTTTTTCTCGATATAGGCATAGACGTCATCTAAAAAACGGAGAGCCTCCCTCCGAAGTAACGCAGCCCAAGTCATATGTCCGACCACCACCTGCAGAGAGATCCGCTGGCGCGCCCGCGCCTGAGGATCTCTTCTAAGGCCAGCCGTAGTCTCCAGAGACCTCGTCGACGGATAGAGAGCCTCTGGCCCGAATTAAGCTCCAACCCTAGGAAAGACGCGTCTTTCGAGGCGGGCTCCAGCTCGTGGACGACGAGGCCCTTGGCTTCGAGGGTGGGGCGAATTCGGGACACGGTCGAGCCCACAGCGTCGGGGCTCTGGCCGAGGACAACGAAGTTGTCGACGTAGCCTGCGACTCGCACACTCGTGAAATCGTCGATCGGGGAGGCCGGGTTGCCGTCCACGACAAGGTTCGACCCATCGATGCCGGCGTCGCCCAGGGCATTCATCAGCGCGGACTGGGCGATGTGCATAGCCCAACTCCACCCCAGAGGAAGGATTGTGAGCACGGGTTCGAGTGCGGTCCCTGGTCCCACCTTGTGGCCTTCAACCTCTGTAAGCCCAGCAACTCAGGCATCGATAGGGGGGAGGGCAACAAAAATCCTGAAGCTCTGCCGGCAGGCCCATGCGATACAAGCAGTTGTCAATGTCACCTGATCCTACAAAAACGTCGGACCCCAGGGACTCAACATATCCAAAGGCCGTTGCGGTGGGACGGGTGGCAGGAGGGGTCTTTAAAAAAACAGTTGGCAACACGGGTATCGAAAATAAGCCTGAGCTTACCCGACTTTTTCGCTACGAAGAAAACACCAACCTTGCTGGGGCGGCCCGTGGCGAGCTTCAAAGTGGCCGTCCCCCGGTCGACCAGCTTGCGAACGAACGCAGCGTACCGAGCAGGAGACGAGCTGAGAAGCGGATCCACATACGGCCCCAACGGACAAGCTTCTCGAATCAAACTTCGAGCCTCCTCAGAGGGCCTTAGCAAGTTCTCGTGGGCACGACCGATCCATTCACAATCGCCAGCGCTGAGGAGATCGCCCAGCGGAACCGGGCGAGTCCCCTCATCTGGCCAGGAAACAAGCTCCTGGGAAAACGGTCGCCTAGTGGTCCCCGCAGAGTCGTACAGGCCACTAGCGGCGCAGAGCTCACTCAGGGCTCCCGCGCCAGAAAGGAGGTCAGCTGGCTGGGGGCCGGCCTCTCGAAACTGCTTACCTATGCGATCGAGGGCGTTCCTCTGGCAAGAGGTCGGGTTCGCAGAACGGCAGGCCGGCCCAAAGCCGTAAGCACTATTGAGGAAGGAGATGGCATCGTTGGCCCAGTCGACAGAATGCTTAACTTTGCGACGGCGTCGGATGACGCTCCTACTCACGTCGGAGGCACCGCGGCCAGGCCTACTGGGAGAGGGGAGAAGAGGAAGTGGAAAAATGTCTCTGGCACGAGCAGAGGCAGCGCCATCAGGTGTCGTACCCGACCGTGGCGCCCCGGTCGGAGAGGGCTCATACGTCTGGTCGCCGCACACCGGTGCCCTTGTCCCGGCGTCGGCGGGGGCATTCACCCCTGCTCTTTGTCCCCCGCCTTCTTGGTGTTGCGAGGCTGGCGGTTGGCGATGCGCTCTTCCCGAGCCCTTCGTCTTTCTTTCATCGCCGAGACCTCCCTGGCGAGCTCCTGCGCGATCCAATCTTGCAGCTGTGGGGCCACGCACGCGTTGCCTCTGGCGAGGTCCGAACCCAAAAAGAAGTGAGAATCGACTATGTCCTCAGACCCCATGACGCGAACCCTGTGGCGCTCGTCCTGCACCTGAAGAGAACGCCCCAACCGCTCGAAAGACGCGATCTCCGTGATGTTCAGCTGGCCATAGCAGGCAGCCGTCTCCACGGCCATACACACGCGGAGGTGAACCTCCACCCCAGGCTCAGAACCGTTGAGGCGGGCCTCCGCCATCAAGCGGTTGTGCCTGGCCACAGGCGACCCGTCGTTGGCCACGATGAACTTGCTGACCCAGAGGAGGGCGCGCGGCCCGCGCACGGGCCAATCCGCAAACGGCGTGACCGTGAGAATGGTGACGGCAGCCCTGAACACTCGACATCGCGCACCCTGAGAATCGACCCCGAAGGCCTGCACCCGCAAGTCGTGGACGGGGGCTCCAGCCACGCCGCCGCCACCTGGCGCCGCGCCAGCCGCCAACGGGGGGCCTCCTCCTGGGGCCGCCACAGGGTGTGCGGCCGCCCGATCTGCTCCTGCCGCGGCTCCTGCACCAGCAGCCCCTCCGGCGGGTCCAGGGGCAGTAGCGACAGCTGCGGCGCTGCCCGCCAGGGCCCCAGCAGGTGCGGCCGCTGCGTCCGGCACGGGTGGGCCCGCGGCCGCCGGGGGCACCCGGGCGCCCGCTGGGGCGCCAGCTGCAGCAGGCCCCCCTAGGGAGGCGGCCAGGGCGGCCAGGCCTTCTCCGTCGGGCGACGCCGCGCCCCCGGGCGGCGGGCACGGCTCGGGGGCCACGACCCTCTCGTGCCGCAGAACTGGTCCAGGGACGTCGTACCTGACAACGAGGAAGCCGCCCTCGTCGAGGCCACCAAACTGCACGGGCATGCCGGCCCCCACCGAGAGCGGCCGTCCAACCGCGCTCCGCGAGAAGGGCTCGGCCGGCAAGGCGAAGCCCAGCCGCGCGGCCCCCGCGGCCCTCGCACCACCCAGCCGAGCCGACAGCGGCAGAGCGCGAAAGCGGGAGACTGGGGCCGGGACGTTCGCGCCGCCGGCCAGCGGCAGCCCGCCACCCTGCAAGCCCTGGGGCAGCTGCACCGCCTCAATGATGTCGGCCGCCACGGCGGTGTCTTCGTCGTAGTCATCGTTGTATGGAGTCGGAATAGTGTACACTCCTGGGCCGGGCATGGCACCCGCCATCACTGCCCCTCAGAGCGAGAGCTTACCCGCCGCTTCAGCGCCAGAGCCTCCAGCTGCAGCCGGGCCTGCTCCGCGATCGGCCCCACCTCAATCGCCTCCGTAGTCACCACTCGGGCGGGGGGAGGCGCGCTTCGGGCCGTGGAGGCCCACGCAAGGGGTAGCCGTCCGATCACGATGCCGATGCTGACGAAGAGGATGCCCCAAAGCAGCGAGCCCAGCCAGGTTGCGCCGTTTGCCTCCTGCTGGATCACGTTGCCGCAGCTGACGGTGGGGCAGCTCGAACAATCACAATTGACCACAGGCCGACAATCAGGGCACGGGACACGGTTGGCCCAGGAGAGGACGGCCGCTGAAGCGGAAGTGATCAGAGAATTAGCGGCTCCCTCGAAGAGCGCCTCAACCCCGCCCAAGAATGGCATTTGGGGGAAAGAACTTGAACCAGAAACCGAATTACGGCACACTCGTCAGCTGGCTATTGCTTCTACTTTGAAAAAAGGACATATATAGTGTTGTCATTCGTATTTGTTTCATTATCATCATTCGGATTATGATTTTGATTATGGTTCTGACTATGATTAGTATTACTATCATTATTAATTTTATCATTATTGCTACTATCAATTCTTATTTATACGCATGCAATTCCAATACTATCACAGGTTTATGGCGGTTGTCTTTTTAACTTTGGCTCTCGCCTTGGAGCCGCGCACATTGTTTTTCAACGTTTGCAAGCGTCCACGGATTGATGGCGGTTCCTTTCCAACATGTGGCTCTTGCCTGAGCGCCGCGCACATTCGCCTTGTAAGAATTACAATATTTTCACGGATTGAAGGCGGTTCCTTGGTTCTGGGTTTAGCGCAGCGCACATTCGTTTGAGACATTTGCAATTGTTCACGTTTTGATGGCGGTTCCTTGTCAAAATGTGGCTGTCGCCGTAGTGCTGCGCACATTCGTTCAAACAATTTACAAGCGATTCACGGATTCCCACGATCGACGTACCAGAAGTGGTGTTTTGGACAGATATGTGGGTGCAACATTTATGTTGGTTCCTGGTGCTGAAGTCCCCTAAAAAGGCGTTCTGACACGACTCTGGATCGTCAGGACGCAGCAGTCAGGTTGCTCCGTGGCGTTAAAATGGCGAGAACAATGTTTGGGC